GACGGCTTAATTCCACACACACACTTTTGCGCCCCATAGATAACCGAACCGCTCTCCTCCCACCAACATGCAAAGTTTTAATTCTTAAAAATTCTCTTACATCGCCCTGAGCAAAGGCTTTTAACGTTAGAGCTCCAGAATATGCATGATGCAAGGTGTGGGGTGGTCATTTTTACGGTATTAATTTCCCCTTTATAGGCTAACCAGAAGTGCTTTCTCCGTCTGCTGTTACTTGATTAATAACAGGGATCTAGATTTAATTTAGCCAGTTGCATAAAATTGTGGGGTATTTTAATACCTAATCTCTTCAGGTAGCAACCTGAATTTTTAAGCAGAGTTTGTGGGGGATTTTGTCATGCTTTCTGAATTACTCCCCTCATAGCTGGAGAGCCAAGACAGAAGTCGGGCTTTATATCTATAATTTAAAGAGCCAGAGCCTGACTAAGGTAAGACCCACAGAAATTTCAAGGGGAGGGGGGGGCGGTTAAATAAGGAATTATTTCATGCAATTCTATTTGGCAACAATTCCAAAAGTTCGTTCATTAGTTCGTTCTATCTTTCAGATACTTTTAACCTTTAAAAAAAAGCCCAAGGCAGCTTATATCATTAAAAACATAGCATTAAAAGCTCAAAATGGTAAATTATTCAAATATTTTAAAAGAATTATTAACATTATACTTGAAATATTACATGCTTCCCCTCTTCCCTACCCCTTCCGCACGACGTCCCTGCGAGGTAGGCCAGGCTTCAGTTGGAGTTCTCAACCCTCTAACCACTGAACCGCCCTCCAGCTGTCCCTTCGCTTTAAGGCACAGATTTAGCCCAACGTACTCAGTACCCCTCTAGTAAAATCTGAGGCCTTAAACTCCAACCTGCTTTAGTTCGTACATAAACCCAGCACGGATCATTTGCAGGCTGAGTGGTTTCGTAGCTAGAGGGGAATTCTTCAAGACCTCTGGCAAATGAGACGATTCTGGATTTTTATGGAGGAAAAGAAAAACTCGAAACGAGATAAAGCCGCTTTTGCTGTCTTGCTCGGACAAAACCTTTGGCAAAATTCTCAATAAAATTGCAAAGATTATAGCAGCACATGCACAGAAGGAAAACATTTTGTTCTGGCTCCCTGTTGCTGGGGCCGCGGTGGCGCCCCGTATGATTGGGGTGTTTAAAAATAAGATTTTTACTTTAGGGGAAATGCAGTGCAGCAAGCTCTGAAGCGGAAATGCTCTCTCTTCTCTCCCCTTCCCATGATTTACCCCACAAAGGTGAGCATTTTATAATTGCAGTTTTTGAAGAGCCAGCCGTGTTGGTCTAAAACGATATCTACGAAAGGCACTGAATTTTGCCGAGCTTAGCATTTTAGCATCATCTAGTGGCCAAAGCGGGAAAACGGAGTGGGATGCTGGACCAAGAAGAGCTTCGGCTGATGGCGTGATCCGTTTTGCCAGCTTTCGGGTGCTCCTCGACCTCAGCACCGCATGAATCACCGCCAACCAGCCTAGAGGTTGCATAAAACCCTTTGCCCCATTTTTAGCTTTCTGCATCTAAGAAAGCAAGACTTTTTCTAGCTGAATAACTCAGTGGTTTAGGTCTCTGGCTGAGGAGTCAGCGGTCGGGATTTCGATTTCCCCCTTCTGGGCCTCCTGGGAGAAGAGCCAGCCTGGGTAGCCTTGGGCCAGCTGCACTGCGGTCCCAGGGCTGCCCCCTAGTGGACGGGAATGGGAAATCACGTCTGATTATTCCCTACCTGCAAAACATTGGAAAGGGTTGCAAGAACTCAGAATTGACTTGACGGGACATGGTTATTATTATTTTCTCAATTAAAAAGGAGAGTTGGGTCACACGTTGACGGAGCCACCCTAGCTAGCTAGATAAGAACATGGATTGGAAGATGCGAGGTCAGAGATGAAGCCAGAGGTTGGTCATGTTATTGGGCTTGGAGAGGAAAACTCAAGGTTCCCCAAATAGGGCTAGCAAAGGATTAGCCCCTGACACTCTGGAGAGCCACTACGATCAGTCAGACTTGGCCATCCTTCGCCTTCATGCAGGGATCCATTCATTCCACGATGCTCCCAGAGTGGAGGGATCAGCTGACAAAGAGTTTTTTCATGGCCCAGGTGTGCTCAAGGTCCCGACATCCTTTCAAGGAGCCTTCAATATATGAAGCCAACTTCTGACCATCCTGTGATTTTTAAGAGGTACCCGAGAAGTGATCTGTTGGTTGAACTCCACTGAAAGCAAGTGATTTTAAGGTAGATCTTAAACCCCAGGCAGGTCAACACAGGGGCCAGGCAGTCCGAGAGATCAGTAGGCCCAAGGTCCTATAAAAGCCTTCTTTTGGGGTTCCTGGAAGAAGGCTGGGGACCTGTGGCAGCGACAGGAAGCTCTTCTGCATCTTAGCTGATTCATCATATGGTCTTCTTGGACATCCTTCCTCTATGTCAGCAAAGTACATGCAGGAGGGCAAAGGTGGGCCCCCCAGGCAGGTCAACACAGGGGCCAGGCAGTCCGAGAGATCAGTAGGCCCAAGGTCCTATAAAAGCCTTCTTTTGGGGTTCCTGGAAGAAGGCTGGGGACCTGTGGCAGTGACAGGACGCTCTTCTGAATCTGAGTTGATTCATCGCATGGTCTTCTTGGACAACCTTCCTCTGTTTCAGCAAAGTACATGCAGGAGAAGGGCAAAGATGGGCCAATTGACGTCTTCTACCATTCCTAGCTATCCACCAGAGCCGATGGAGAAGGATGATGGGAGCGGACCTGGAAGACCACAATGGCCCACCCAATTGTTCCTGTTTGGCTCAGTAGCTCTACTAAGGACAATCTATGAATTCAGAACAGCGGTTATGAACTGTTGGTCCTTCAGATGTTTTTGGACTCCGAGCCCCATAACTCCTAGCCAACAGAGCAAAGGCCAAGGAATCATGGGAACTAAAGCTCAGGACCTGGGAGACCCCCATGGTTCCCACCCATACTCTGATAGACAAAACCGGCAGTTTACACACAGTTCGAGAGAAAACAGCTTAGGAAAACCCGCACGTTCGGTGTGGCTGATCAAGAGTGCTTCGTTTTTGCACATCATGCACACACGACATCTATCTCAATAACAAGTTGTGGTTGCAAGGTCCCCGTTCCACCTGCAACCACCGCACGACCCCTCTGGAGCTCAGTCTCCTCGTTCCAGATGTGACCCACTGGGTAACCCACAGCATTGTGTTCTCCAGACATCAAATGATTCTAGGTTAGCGCTAATTAAGCGTATGTTCCTCGTTTTAAAAATAACTCCTTTTTTTGCTTAGCGCTCTAATTGAGTTTTTTAAAAGCTCCATTTGGATTAATTAGATGAAAAGTTTTGTGGCGGAGGGAGGAGTAGCTGCTCACGCCAGCTTCCCCCATCGGCAAGGTGCTTGCTTCCATTTCTCGCGGACTGAACGAGGTTCGGTTCGTTAGGCGTTCCCTCTTAAGCGGTCTCCTTTGCTCCGCTTCAAAACGGGATCCTCGAAAGGGGACAGGGTGTTCTTCCCACACCCAACTGCACTGGGAAAGCACACAGTAACCCTAACCCTCCAAAGGATGATGACGGGAGAACCAAGTACAGATGGCGTGAATCAAAGCAGCAGAAAAAGCTGTGCAAGATGGGCGTGCTATTTATAGCGATCCAGCTGTTTCTTTCAGGTGTTGCAAACTCCTTCCCCCCCCGCCCCCCCCGAAACCAAAGCGTGATTAATTCCAAAAGTTGGAATTTACATCATTTTGATTACCTCCGAGTATCTGTAATTTAGCTGCTTAGGAAAATTAACTTGACGTTGCTTCCAAGGTAAGGAGACAATGCGAGGCGTAAGGAGCATGGCCCCGTCTTTGATTAGCTTATGTCTAAAATTAAACTCCAATTTGCTATTTAATTTTTCTCTTTTTTAAAAAAAAACATCTTTTTTTTCTTGGCTTCCGCTATCAAAGGTGTTGCTCTAAAGGAGTCTCATCTCCCGTAAGGGGCGAGGAAATGAACACAACTCGCATTCCGGCACTAGTTTTGAGAGATGGTTTGTGCGTGATGAGCAAACGCACCCAGCCGTGTCCCAGTTGCGTGGTGAGCCATGGGGCTGGTCCAAAAATGGGGAAATGGACTGGAAAATCCCCTTCTGAGCGTAATAACTCCCTACAAGACCCTGGCCGGACTAGCTTTATTTGGTGTGAGCTAAATAAGGGCACACAGCTTCCATCAGCCATAGCTAGTGTGGCCAACGGTGCAGTCATGATGGGAGCCTAAGTCCGACATCATAAAGCACAGTGGTTCCCAACCATGGGTCCTCGGATGTTCTTGGACTGCAACTCTCAGAAGCCTTTGCCACTCGTTGTGCGGACCAGGATTTCTAGGAATACTCCCAGAAGCCTTTGCCACTCGTTGTGCAGACCAGGATTTCCGGGAACTGCAGTCCAGGCACATCTGGGGAAACCAAGGTCGGCAAACACCGATCTAGAGAGACCTGAGATGACCACACTCCCAGAAGCCTTTGCCACTCGTTGTGCAGACCAGGATTTCCGGGAACTGCAGTCCAGGCACATCTGGGGAAACCAAGGTCGGCAGACACCGATCTAGAGACACCTGAGATGACCACACCTCCTCCACTGAATTAGTTCCAGGAGAAGACAAGGTCCAGAGTCCCTCCGTCTCAAACAACCAGCTTCTGGAATGATTTGCTCTAGAAAACAGCATGTCCCTTGTCCATCTCTCTTGCCCAACCCTCTCGTGACCTTGGAACGCTAGAGATACAAAACCAACATTCACAAACCAAATGAGCGACAGGGCAGATACCGGTGAAAACGTTGACTTTGAGAGATTGAAGAGGGGCAGATTTAGGGACGAAAATACCAAGAACACCATTTGATTTTCTTTCTCTTTTTCAACCAAAGGCTCTGTTTATTGCTACATACAACTCAAGCTGAACATAGACTCCGATGTTTAACACTGAACCGAGAGGGGGTCCGACTCGTTGTATTTCCCCCCCCCTTTACAGCCACAGATGTACCGTACAATTTGATCCAATGAGGACTGCAGGATCCAGAGAGGTGCAAAAGTAAAGCTAACGAGGGCATGTGGTTTCTGAAGGAATCGGAAAGCCGTCTTCTGGATCAGCCGTGATCTCAGACGGAAGCCCATCATTTCACACACAGGGGCAAGAAGCTTGGGTGGCCCACTTTGCTGATGCTGCGGGTCCTCATTTTGATTATTGTGTTTATAGTGAAGTGAAGATTGGGGTCCTACAGATGTTCACTGCCCTAAGTCCATTTGCTCATCTCAACCAGAGTAGACCCGCCAAAAACGGCAACAGGACAAGGAAATCAAAATGCAGGTCAATCCCCATGATTCCGTGGGTCTGCCCCAGCTGGGACTACCAACTGGGTCTAGTCCATCTTTGTTAACACCAAGCTATTGGTGTTTAACAAAAATGGCCTCAACCCAAATGCAGAGCATCTGATTTTATTTTGGTTGGTCAAAGGGCATCAAAGGATGGCAGGAGAAGGTACCATCTCCTGGGCTGGACCAAGATGAAGGAGCAGGAAGCAACTGACCGCACAAAGCCCCTGAAAAGGACAAGACTTGTGAATCAGGGAATCATCCACTGCAGTTCTTCCCAGAAGGCTGGCATACACATCGAGCCAAATCGGGGATTGAGAAACCGGTCCCTTCCTCCTTCTCCTCCAGACCTCAACTTTTATCTGTACCAGGGTCAAGAGCCAGGGACGGATGGGAATCGCAAAACCAAATGTTCTTCCATCCCTGGTGCCAAACCTTGGCCAACCTCAAATCCAACGGTTAGTTAGAAGATGAACCCACTGAACGAACCACTGAAGGGCACGTCAACCCTTGTATAAGTCCCACCGAATCGTATCAGGAGATGTACTCAAACTGATGTACTCTCTCTTTGGGACCAGCATTTTAGTATCAGCCTAGATTTCTCATGACGGGAAATCTTCTACACTCTTTACTTTTTTTCCCCATTGATTATTCAGCAGAGATGCTAAATAGGTTCGTAATCAGAAGTGGAAGGAAATTAGCTGTGTTTTAAATATTTAGATCCCTTGCAGTTTCCATGGATTCTTTTTTATTTTATGGAATGAAACACTCGAACGCCAACCTCCCTCAACACTGCAGATGTTCTCAACTACAATGCCCATCACCCCCCAGTCAGCATGGCTGGTGGTCTTGGGAGGATGGGTTTGAGAGGGGGGGCCTGCTTTAGAAGACGTGTCACCTCCTTGGCCAAAAGACCGTGTCCATGGCTGTTGACAACACTAATAAGAACATTATAAAAAGACAGCATCCACATCAACGGCAAACATTTCACACGGACACCCAGCGGAATAAATGAAACGTTCCGTAAGATTTCCAAAACGCATCTACGGGGCAGGAATGCCTAGAAAGGAATGGTTGGGAATGGTGGCATGGAAGACCTACAATGGAATGGGCTTCCAGGGCAAAGTATATCCTTTTCAAGGAGCCACCCCAAAGAAGGCCCTTCTGTTCCTCTACAGCTTCTTGTACTTTACCAGGCACAGGTAAAGGAAACAGGACAATTTTTGAAGGCCAGAAAACCAGGGTAAAACCCTGTGACCTTTGCTGGACTACAACTCCCACGATCCCCCAGCATTAACTATGCCGCCTAGGTCATCTGGAGGGTCGTGGTTGGCCACCTGTGCCGTAAAAAGCGGGCAGCGCTCACAGAGGAAGGAAATGACGTTCCACCTTTCTCCTCTGGACGGAAACGTTGAGCCACCCTCTCCCCAAATTCGCTTCCATGGAAGTAAAGTGTTTTTGGTTGTGCTTACAAAGTTACGTGAATGGGGAAGCGCCCGGATTCACGTATTAAGTGTGCGCAGAGGAGCCCCCGAACGGGGCAGGGCTCCCGAGAAAGGACATGTTGTTGGTCAGTTATTAAGGCAGCCTTTCTGAGTCCCTGCAGATTGAAAGACTATAAAAATGTAAACGAGACGGGCATTGCATTCAGCACCAACACCAAGAAAAGGTGACACACATCTTGTGAAAGCTGAGCCATGTTTGGCTCAATTTCGCTTTGCCCAAACGCAAGACCGGCTTGCTCGGACGACCAAAATCAGAAAGAGACGCAAGTGCTGTTATCCAGGTGTCTGGCGCTTAGGCAGCCACGCCCAACACTTTAAGAAACGGTTGTTTGAGGTTGTTGATATTCCCCCCCCAAAAAAAAAAATCCCGTACCTTTGTTGCTGTCTCGTACCATTAATGGTGGAGCTCCTTCTTAAAATCACCCAAAAAAAACCCACACCTTTTTGCACTGTGATTTCTCCAGTTTTTTTGGGGGGGGCTTTTCTGGACCACCAGGTTCTGACAGCTGGCGTGCGAAAAAAGTACATTTTCTAAGCTCCGATTTCTGGTATTAGCAAAGTACCGCGACTAATTAAGCAGCCAGCCCTACAAGTAAAAATAGTACCTATGTTATTTTCTTTTTAAAAAAATAATCAAGAAAACAAAAGAGAAAGGAAAAGACAGAGGAAACAAATACAATCCCCATCACTATGGACAATGTGGGCCAGGTGGGTTGGGGGAGAGACAGGAGAGATGCATGGGGAAGGGCCGTGGGGGTGTCAGGGAATGGCGGTCCGACCCAACCTATGTGAAGGATGACCAACATTATTCATTAAGGCTTTAGGAGTGAAGGAGGAGTCAATATGTTTTTTTTTTTCTTAGCAAGAAAGGGAGTGGCCTTTATTCCAGGAAGCGTCGCCTTCACAAAACTCTCTTCTTGCTAGGGCTGAAGGTGGAAGTTTTGTTTTCTGCAGGCTGTAGCTGGGAAAAAAAGCAAAATTTGGCATTAAGGGCCCATCGGCATGAGAAGAGGGCGTCTGGTCTGGAAAGGCCTCCTGTACGTGGTTCCTGCTTCAGTCCGCAGGAAGGAGCTTGCGAGACAAGAGACATCTCTGTACAAAGAGTTTTAAAAAAAAAAAAACCCTGCACACAGAAATCTAGCATTTTAGGATTAGGACTCTTAAACTTGCGCGTCAACCAAAGGGAATGTCACTTGGTTGCTGGCTCAACAGCTCTCCTCCTAGAGGTAAAAATGTGAGCGCAGATGGCTGCTTACGAGGAGACCATCCTAAAGAAGGCGGACCACCAGCTGGCTACGGCATCAGGCAGGGACATATTTTTATAATTTGAGCTTCACAAGTTGGATATAGATCTCAGGACAAGCAGTGAGCGATGGTCCAAGAACGTGGGGGTGGGGAAAGGAGCCAGGAGACCCGCTGGGGCATAAAAAATTTAAGTCTGAACCCACTGCACTAGCTGTTGTGGTTCTGATCTAAAACAGCAATTGTGGAACAGCGTATTTCCTACCAATGCAATTTATGCTGCTTATTTCAAGGAGCAGGGAGTGCACGAGAAGGGGGGGAGCATACTAATGAGGATTAATTAATAGACGTGGAGGTTTTTTGTTTTTTTTACTTACTTCCAGGTTGCCTCGCGCCTTCCTTAAGACGTCGTGCGTTAGAGCCACTGAAAAGAGAAGAGAATACGGGGAGTTGGCTTAAAATATCCGGGTTTGTTCTATTTTTCGGGGGCTGCCGCAGGTAGAAAAGAATGAGATCGTCACAAGGGAAGGGGCTGCGCGTCTTCTCCGCCGCCCCCGCCCCCCAAAAGGAGGAGAATAAGGTGAGCTATCTCGTCGGACCTCGCAAAAAACAGGCCCACGGTGGAAATGTTCCACCTTAATAAACCTGGGACTTGAGCAGATTTCCCCGAGAAACGCTCATTTGCTTTCTGCCGAGGTTTGCGGCATCTGCGACGGAATACAATCTGCACTTTATTTTTATTTTCTGAAGTGGCTCTAAAAGCGAAAAGGCAGTGACATCTGTAATCCCCATAATCAAATGAGACTTTACAGCAAATTGCATCTCGGGCGCGCCGTGTACGTAGGTGAGCGCAGGCGGCTAAGAAACGTCGCTGTGAATAAATTCCTCTTCGCCTGCATTTCCGCCTCCTCCTCCTCCTCACCCCGCTAATCAAAAATATCAGAGCAAACATGGAGACGGTCGTTCCAGGGGCTGCTAGTTTGAGTCTGCGTTGGGAGCGGAGCCTGCAAAAAGGTGCAGTGTGGGGGGGACGGTTCTTACGGGAAGTTGGGAAGCAGGAGAATGGCTGTGGGGTCCATGGGAAGCTGCGACAGGTAGCCTGGGGGGGGGGGAGATGGTCCTTACGGGAAGTTGGGAAGCAGGAGAGTGGCCATGGAGTCCATGGGAAGCTGCGACAGGTAGCTATGGGGAGATGAGTCTTGGCCCCCGAGACGGGGAATCAGTACTGAGTCCTCAACTCCATGAGGACTAGCAACTTGCCTTTTTGTCACTTCTTCTAATAGTGAAAACGGCGCCCTTTGCTTACTGACAACTAGATTTCTGGACCTGTCTTTCCACTCAAAAACAGCACTCCGGAAGGCCAAGAAGCCCAGGCCATCAACCCATCCAGATCATCACAGCCATTAGAACAATCCCAAAACAGTCGGCAAAACATGGAAACACGTTTCTGGCTTGAACAGGAGGGCCTTCACAACTTTCCTGCCAGCCACGAGAGATGGAAAGAGGACCCAACGGCTGAGCTGTGCGTTTCCCATTTGAGAGCGACCGAGGAGACAGCCCCCCCTCCCACTTGCCCCCCCAAGCAGGACAGGACCAGGGGGGCCATATTCTCAAGAGCAGCCCTCCTAAAGACCCCAGACTCCTAGAACGATGGAGCTGGAAGGGGCCTCTGAAGGCCATCCGGCCCAACCCCTTGATCAAGGCAGGGTCCCAGATCCAAGCAGATCTGCCCGGTGGTAGTCCCGTTTTCTCTCAAAAGGCTTCAAGATCCCAACCTCCAGACAGGGCTGCCGGAGGGGAGCCTCTGCTGCTTGGACCGCCGCGTGGCGAGACCATCCGAGGCTCTGCCAGCGTGCCAAAGAAGCCGTCTTCATCAGAGAGGAGAAGGGGAGGAGAACGACAGTTTGGGTCAAGGGAGGGACCGGGACAGGAGATGTCCTCCACGCCCGACAGGGTCTTGCTCCTCACCTAGCGGCACCTTCACCCCGCTTGAACCCCCTGCACGCCCAGCTTCAACTGCCAGACCACTGCGCCAGAGTGTCAGATTACAGAGGTTCATGCGAGGTGAGCCTGGCGCTCGGTGTCTCCTTCTAGGGCTCGGTGTGCCCTCGGCGTGGGGATGTCCCCGACCAAATTCCTTCATTTTTCTCAGCCCACCCACACACCACCAGTTCAACTTGCAACTGGGAGGGCAAACCTTCCTGTCGGTTCAGTGTTGGGACTGTGCGTGTTGCATGGGTTTCGCACCCGCCCTCTCAGCAATCCGAGAGCACCATCGGCATGCGTGGCCTGTCACTGTTCGTATCGCGCCGATCACCAAAGGAGCTCGCCCAAGCCTTCCCTGCCTCCCTGCGGTGCTGGCCAATCCAGCAGAATGACGAGTCTCCCCGCGCCTAGAGGCTGCGTAGTCAGCAGCGCTGGGAGGCGGGGAAGCGCCGGGCGGGCTTCCTTCCGCCATTGGCGTGGCGAAAAAGCTAAGGGGAAAATAAAAATCCATTTTGGCTAAGAACAGGACTTCGGGGAAGGTGCTGGGGAACCTCCTCGCAACCCCCGGCGCGAGCTAAGCACCGCCGCGATTTCACACGTCACTTGTTCAAGCAGAAGTTGCTCTTTAGAATATAAGCTGTAAACGATGAGCCGGAAGACAAAAAAAAAAGGAATGTGTGTTAACCTTTTAAAAAAAGTTGTTTGTGAAGGTTGGAAATGTAATGATTGAAATCAAAAGCATCATTCTGGTGATGTGAGTAACTGGTGACATTTACGCCGGTCCATTTCCTGCACCTTTCGGAAAAGGGGGGGTGGGGGAGGGAGCTAACCGGGTCTTTTTTATGCCAGATTAATTACTCCTTAGGATATATAATTGCACACGAGACCCATTTTACTGAGTGAGCTTCTCCCTTCCTCGAGGTGTTGCGGAAGACAGTGGATGCATAAAGCATTGAAACACAGAATTTTAGTTTTAATTGGCCCGGGAGGTGGAAATCAAGAATGCAGAAAGCTGCTTGTACTTTGTGGAGACGAGGACCAAAGAAGAAGGCCTGAGTCCTTGAAGGAAGATCAAGAAGTCTCAAAATGTAGGAACATAGTGAGCTATCTTACACTGATTCAGACTCCTGGCCCAACTAACCTTGTATTGTCAACTCCGTTTCGCAACAATTAGTCTCCTGGATCTGGCTTGGTATAATATCAGAATAGGCAGAGCCCCACCACCTCAGTAACATACAGCATCTTATCATAAAGACACCTCCCTGCACCGGCAAGAAACGGACCATTACAGTTTTGCGGACCCAGAGTGTTGTGGCTGATTCTGTATCTAGAAGGAGTGCTCCCTTGAGTGACAAAAAAGGCATAATTGTGAAAACATATGAAGGCTGAGTGTCAATGGGATTATTTATGGAATGTTATTCTTAGGGCCCCAATACATTAGGACCCAACCCTGATCGTAGAAAGAGGAAGATCACTCACACTGATCAATGATGACCTTCTCCATGTTCTCCTTTAGACGGTTGGTCGAGTGCAAGTGCTTGACGGTGCTGTGAAGTTTCTTTTCCTGCTCGGCCAGTTTCCGACGGAGCTTCTGCACTTCGGCTCTCAAGGTTTCGTCCTGCAACAGGAGAAGGGGGAAACCAGGACCTGTGAAAGCAGCCACACCCAAACAACTGTTGGACGTCCTCCAGCATCAACAGACACGTCATGCACTCAGACAGATGGGCACAGAATCCTGCATGGCCAGAGGATGCGCCCTTCCCTGCAGTACCGAAAGGTTCCAATTCAGGGTTGGCAGAGAAGGTGGGGAAAACACCAGGCAGTCTCCGGGGCTCAGACTCTGGCTATTGGCAGTGAGAGGGTGGAGCTAAATGATGGGGGCATTTTTGGTCTCCTCCCTACACCTCTGCCCCTACCTATTGCCATAATGTAGCCCCCAAGAACTCCAGAATCTAAACTTGAACATTAGTCTACGAGCAGTTGCCTGCCCTGGCCTGAAACGCCAAGGGTCGGCAACATGCGGCCAGCCTGCAGTCCCTGTTAGCCCTACAACGCAGAACTCCCATCCAGTGAGGTGCGAGCCCCCAAGAACTCCAGAATCTAAACTTGAAGCTTGGTCTACGAGCGGTTGCCTGCCCTGGCCTGAAATGCCAAGGGTCGGCAACATGCGGCCAGCCGGCAGTCCCTGTTAGCCCTACAATGCAGAACTCCCAATCCTGTGAGGTGCGAGTCTCTCTCTCTCTCTCTATTCACCTCCTCTGGAGGACTGTGTCCAGTTCTGGACATGACACTTTAAGAAGGCTGCCGACAAACAGGAGCAAGTTCAGAGGAGGATCAACCGGGAGAATCAGGGGGCTGGAAACCAAGCCCTCGGAGGAACGGCTGAAAGAACTGGGCCTATTTAGCCTTGAGAAGAGAAAACTGCGGGGAGATAGGGCAGCCCTTTTCAAAGGCATGAAAGGCTGTCCTCCAGAGGAGGGACAGGATCGGTTCTCCATCCTCCCAGAGTGTAAAGACACGTCATACTGGCCCCAGCCTACAGGAAGCCAGGAAAAACCTCTTAACTGTTAGAGCAGTATGACAACGGAAACGCTTGGGAGGTGGTGAGCACTCCAACGCTGGAGACCTTCGAGAGGAAACTGGACCGCCCAGATCCAGGCCTGCTTGGATCTGGATTCCTGCCCTGAGAAGGGAGTCGGATTCCGGGGTCTCCGAGGCCCCTTCCCACTCCACGATGCCATGAGAACCAGCGGCAAGGAAGTGAAGGCCACACGTTGCCCACGCCAGGCTTAGGGGCCACACCTTCATAAAGAGACTACCAAGAACCTCATCTGGAGGGGGGGGAATGGGGTCTTGCCATCTCCCAGACAATCCAGAACACTACATTTGTCTGCCTTTGGCTTTCGGCTGCGTGAAAAAGCAGAAATCCCTGCCTCCAGCTGCCTTGATGCTGTAGACATCTCTTTGAGTCCTGCTACTGTGTGTGTCCCTCCCTTACCTGAAGCGAGTAAGCAGCCCCGTGGACAACCTTCATAGGCAGGGAGACCCTCCAGAGAAGCTTCAGTAGGCGGGCCGCCTCCTCCAGGTTGCGCCGGATCGCGCCGACGGCAGCAGAGAGCCTGTCCAGAGAGGCCTGGTGGAAAACCTACATGGCAGAAGGAAGGGGAGTGGGTGGGAAAGAGAAGACTGTAGTGTTTTATCCTTAGAAGATGATGAAAACGCAGGCTTTAATTAACGGCATAAATCCAATTTGCTACAAATTCCAGTTCGAGGTTGATGAGCAAGTGTTTTGGGTGCCAGGAAAACTAATTTGTTAGGTTAAAAAGGCAGCTGAATTATGCAGTGTTCAAGCGATGGAGGTAGACGGGGAAGGAAGGGGGGGGCAGCGTCTAATCAATAACAGTAATTAATACGTTTACTACCCTTGCCGGGCCACTTGGAAAAGGCTCTTCCCCCCCCCCTATTTGCATCTCGCGACGTGCGATTTGAAAGTCAAATGCCGGCCGACATTAATTTCGGCAATATAGATGCTCCTCTGTGCGCGGGGGCCGTTAAAAATGGCTGCGTTTAATGGCACGCTAACGTTCAGCGGATGGGGAGGCAAATGGAAGAAGCTGGCACAGGGACGACAGAAGCGAGCAGAAGGCTGAGGCTGCGGGGGGCCAACTCTTAGGGCTGCAAAAGCCCTCTCGTTCCACACAAAACCCCCCGAGTCTGGCCTGATGGTCGGCGTAAGCATTGCTCTCTGGTTTCACCTCCCCAGGATGTGTTTTTGTTCATTTCACACAACTACCAGCTCGGTATGACTTCATGTCTGGGTTTTACGGCATCGGTTGAGCTGGAAATACTATGGACTGTATCCAGGGACCTGGAGTGGGCTGGTAGAATTAGGGAGAAACAGGATCTTAATAATCGGTGAATTCATTCCCTAATCAGCCGGGTGGGGGGGGTCTGAGCCCCATCACCACCACACACACCACGTCCCATGAGGGCAACAGACAAAGCAACATGGACCCAACCGTTGGCCACTGACCCTACCAATCAACGGGCGGCTGATGTTCTGAGCACCGGGCCCAGGGCATACTTTTTGGGCATCTGGCAAACGGAAAGCAGCTTTCCAATGAACAAGGGCTTTTCTAAATGTCTCAGAGAGAAGGGGATGATGTCTCCTGCATGGGACGTTCGCACCATCGGAACACAAGACAAGCTTGCCTTTTTCACACGGGTGCTGAGCCCTCTGGCAAGAGCACGCCCGGTTGGCCAGGCGAGCCACCAATAAAAGCTCTTGTGATCCCTCAGCTGAGATCTCTACAGCTAGGTACGACTCTTCTAATGCGGAGGTTTTCCCCCCACCCTTTGGACTACAACTCCCAGAAGCCTTCGCCACAAGCTGTGCCGACCAGGATTTCTGGGAGTTGTAGTTCAAGAACACATGGGCGCCCAAGGTTGGGAACCGCTGTGGATTTCTGGGAGTTGTAGTTCAAGAACACGTGGGCGCCCAAGGTTGGGAACCGCTGTTCAGATTTCAAGAGGGCGGGGCAGCTTACACAGATCCTTAATCTACCATTATAAGCAAGCGTTCTCTCAATTTACGCTCCGGACGACGCTGGGCGTACCATCGCTCCCGGCTCCAGAAGCGCCATGTCTTTAATTGGGAGCTCCAGTTCCGACAGCAGCTTCTGCCCTTCTGTGATCTGCTCCCGTAAAGAGTTGTAGTCTTCGATGGAGCCCAGGACGTGGCGGCCGTTCTTGTCTGCCCACACGCAATGGCGGGGGACGAGGGAAGAGTCCTGGGACCTGCTGGTGGACGAACTGCAACGGGAGGAGGCGTCCGAAGGGTCCCGAGGCGGCTCTGTGTCTGGGGTGCAAGATCAAAAGGCCTCGTTACCCTCCACAGGTTTCAGCCCCACTGACGGAGCGAATTCCTCGACCTTACCAGAAGTGGCATTCAAACAAATCCTCTTTTTATCCTTTGCCTCCTGTCCCCAACACCTTGCCGTCTGGGCTGGGGCCCTCTTGGTGTTCTTCAACAACAAATCCCAGCACTCCTCACCATTGGCTAGGGCTGATGGGATTTGTAGTCCTGTAACATCTAGCTAGCCGCCTGCTGTCCACCTCTGGTCACAGCCTTGGGATTGGGGCGCATTACCTGCTTTGAGAGGCGCGAGGCGGTCCCCATACTTCTGCTGCAGTTCAAGGATGCTGCCCTCGGCCGTGGGGAACTTGAATTCTACATATCAAAAGAAGGGCAGAGGGTTAATGAGAGGCCAAGGAGTTGCGGCATTCTGCTGCCCTCATTTTGTCGCGGACACAGAGGAGATAAATACTCCAGCCTAGAAGCCCCCATTCCCAAGTTACCCTGGTTTAAGGCTGCTTTTTCAAAAATCCTTTGTTTCCAGAAAAAAACTTCTCAGTCTTCCTGATCTCAGAAACGGAGGTTGCCAAAATCTCCCGAAATATCACACACCAATTCTGCAAGCTTCCATGGGGACAACGGACCTCCGGCCCACAAACTTTCTCAGAGGCATCGGGCTGGCCACAGTGGAGAATCTGTGGCCCACCTGAGGCTGCCGAGCAAGGTGGAAGCCACTAATATTTTTATTTATATGAAAATAAACGTTTGGAGCCGAGGCTCAGAATCTCTTTGGACTTATTGGGAAGGAAAGCAAATCCACACTGTAAGGTCCAAATCAGCGGCAATCCGAAAAATTCACAACGCAAAACACTTCGCACCTATTTTTGCATATATGAGCCGGGAGCAAATAGTCTCTGGTTGTTCTGCCTCTATTTAATAAAGGCAAAGTAGAAGATAATATGAAGAAAACTGTGTACAGTAGGCACCTCCTATCCGCTGGACCAGCATCCACGGATTCACTTATTCCACTTAGATAGATAGATAGATAGATAGATAGAGAGAGAGAGAGAGAGAGAGAGAGAGAGAGAGAGAGAGAGAGAGAGAGAGAGAGAGAGAGAGAGAGAGAGAGAGAGAGAGAGAGAGAGAGAGAGAGAGAGAGAGAGAGAGAGAGAGAGAGAGAGAGAGAGAGAGAGAGAGAGAGAGACAGACAGAGAGACAGACAGACAGACAGACAGACAGATTAGATAAACAGAGACAGAGGGAGACAGACAGACAGATTAGAGACAGAGAGACAGACAGATAAATAGACAGACAGATTAGACAGACAAAGACAGAGAGACAGAGAGACAAATGTACAGTAGGGATGTGGTATCCACATGGGATTGGTTCCAAGTCTCCCCGCTGATACAGAAATATGTGGAAGTAGCGAATGCTATACATAGCATTTCCACATTTTTCAGGGGTGTGTGTGCTTTGAACTGATACCCCCGCAGATACTGCAGTCCTGCTGTATTTGTTCATCTAAGGGCCATGCCTTGTGCTAGGCTCCCTTCATTCATATCTACCTGGCACACAACTACCTGTGCATCCCAAAATCGGGCCTTTTCTGTGGTGGCCACATCGGCCTCGAACTCGCTCCCATCTGAGGCGTGATCAGCCCCGTCCCTCCTTGGTTTGGGGAGACAGATTAAGACCGATTACGTTCTCACAAGCCTTCTATGGCCTTACTCCTGACTGAGTAATCACGTGGGGTTTTTTTATCATCTTTTGCCTGTTAACTTCCTCTTGTCTGCCGCCTGTGATTGCATTTAATATTTTTTGTTCCGCTTAAGAGTTGCTTTTATTATTAGTGATCCTAATTTTTAGAGATTGTCTTTTTTGCGTGTTGTCACGTCATTTGCACACCACTTGAGAGTAGTGGCCTCGCCACTCACCAGTTGGGTGGGATTTAAAAAATGCATAAATAAACAAACAAAATAAAAGATCATTTCGGTCATCGTTTTCACTTTGTGCTAAATATTGGCGGTCATGGTTTTTCTAGCCCCAGCTTCTGGCTGGGGAAGTAGGCTGAGCGAGAAGCTGGCTCTGAGCGGAGAACCGACAACGGAGAAATGGCTGAGCGCTCGACAAGGTCCCATGGAAAAATCTCTCCTCTCCCCCTCCGCAACAACATTCGGAAGCAACTCCTCTGCTCTGCTCTTCCCCGACAGCCCCACACGTCCGTCCGGCTCCCCCGTGCTTTCTGGGGGACAGGACGAGATGTGGAGAGGAATCCCCTAAAGACCGAGGCCCAACTCTGACCGGACGCTACGCTACACTCCGTACCGTTCAGCCCAGCGTGCAGCTGCGATTCCTGTTTGAAAAGGCGGCTGATAGTCACGGTGGAGCTGCAGCCGCCGCTATCGGCCTTTCCGCTCCAAAACGGCTCCGCCGGTTTGCCGTCCCACATCTGGCTGGTCGTGACGCTTCTTTCCAGCTGTGCCCTCAAAGTCTGTATTTCGGTCAACACCGGGTTCAAGTCAAGCGGAGGATTTTGATCTTTCCAACCTTCTTCCCAGCTGCCATCTGAGGAGATTTGAGGTGTATTTTTTTTAATTACACATCCAAACAATTAGAACAGCCATTATTAAAACGCTGAGCGAACGCTTTTGAGCCCAAAGATTTGGAGCGAACGGCGAACAGCAGACAGATCGTGATTTAACGAAAGGGAAAAAACACACAACCCCTCTGTCTTAATAGCTTCTAGCCTCCAAAGATTTAATAAGAGCCAAAAATTATTTTTCATTTTGTCCATAAAAGCTAATGTTGCATACCCAAGGCAAAATTATGTGTATTAAGAGACTGGGATGAGAGACATTTTTACATTCTAGAGTGCTTTTGGAAACCCAGCTCAGGGAAAGAAAGAAAAAACCTGGAGTCTAGTGCTTAGAGGTTCCTCTCTTTTTTCCATATACAGTCGTGCCCCGCTGGACGATTACCCCGCTCTACGACAAATCCACATTATGTTGACGTTTTCGCGATTGCAAAAGCGATTGCAAAACAATGGTTTAAATGGGGGAATTTCACTTAGCGATGATCGGGTCCCTGCTTCGGGAACCGATTTTTCGCTTTATGATGATCAGCAAACAGCTGATCGTCGGGTTTCAAAATGGCCACCGGCCTTCAAAATGGCCCCCTGCTGTTTTCTAGGACAGATTCCTCGCTTTACAGGCACCAAAAATGGGCGCTGTATGATCTTCTCTGGACGGTGAATTTTTCAGCCCATTGGAACGCATTGAATGGGTTTTCAATGTGTTTCGATGGGATTTTTTTGTTTCGTTTGACGATGTTTTTGCTCTACAGCGATTTCGCTGGAATGAATTAACATCGTCAAGCGAGGCACCACTGTACTGCCTTCTGAGAATTATGGTTTTTTTAAAAAAGAAATGTTTTCTAAGTTCTGCCGAAGATTAGCTAAGCAACAGACAGAGCGACTGCTTTGCGATTCCAGCCAGGGGAATGTGTTCGCTTGTACCTGTCTGGCTTCTGATTGCGTTGTCCAACTTCTCATACATCTTGAGCGCCATCTGCAGGGCGGGCAGCAGGTGGTCCTTCTTGGCCAGCTGGTGCTGGGTGGCGCTCAGCTCCATTTGCAATCTGTGACATCCCAAAGGATACCGGTGAGGGACAGTTTTTCCAGGAAATGGCAGAATCATCTGAGAACAGGCGGGACTAAGGCCACGCTGGCTGGGGTGAAAAGCCCATCATTTATTTATTTATTTGATTTATATCCCCGCCCATCTGGTCTGGTCAACCACTCTGGGCAGCTTCCAATAAGGTGTATACGGAAACATATATAGAACCAAGGCTGAGAGGCCCAGGAGAGACCAGCTCTGGGGGAAGAAAGGGACCATCTCCTGCCCTGAAGGATGATCCTGGATGTGATCAGCTCCACCGAGAGGATTCTGGGTACTCCAGATTGCAAAGAGGTGGCACAAAACCGGAGCACTCTTGAGGCTCCTGCAGAACCGACTGCTACAGAAACTCAAGCCATTCATTACAAGGAAAGGTTAAAACTCAAGAAAGAACATGACGTTCCATGTCAGAGACGGGGCTGGGCAGGGCAGGGAGATGGTGTCAGAACCCAACTCAAGCGACCGAGCTAAAAGCCAAATTAAAAGCTACTCGCCGATGTCTGCTTGCAAACTCCTGGTGGTGCCTTTGTTCACGGAAACACCGTTTCGGAAAAGAGACGGAAAGAACGATGGATTCTTCCCCCTTGATTCTGGAAGATCATTTGATCTTCATCGTGGTATTTTGGTTTATGAAGAAACAGGATTCAAAGGGGAGGGGAAGGTTTTTTTAGTTTGTCAAAAAGGACAGATTCAATGAGGCGGAGGAACGCATTTTTAGCAGCGGAGGAACACAGTTTCAGCGGCAGAGGCTTGAAAAACAAATGAGGATTGATACCTGTTCAATTCATTCCTGAGGTTGTAAATTTCATGCGTCAGGCGGCCGTTTTCCCCTTCTTGCTTTCCCACCCGGGTTTGTAGCTTCAGGTTTTCCTTCTTGAGGAGCTCACATGCCTTGTGAAGGTGCTCAAGAGTCACGCTCTTCTTCCCCAAAGATTCGCGCAATTTCTCATTTTCCTTTTGTCTGTCTGCAAGAAGATGAGGCACCTTTTTGCTTATTTGTTTATTTGTTTATAGTAATGCCAACAATGTGCCCTAAACCAAGCTGCCTGGGGAATTCACAATTTCCATTTTCTTTCCGCACTTAAAACACAGGCGCACCCTTGCGCAGAGAAGCAATAACCAAAATGAGACGCTCATCTGACTTTTACCATTTCGGCATTCCAATTTTCTACTGCTGTGCCGGAAGAGAAAAGTTGTCGGAAAG